CAGTTAGATCAAACTTTTGATAGTCAAAAAGGAATATTTAAATTATATATAGTTATTGTCTGCACTCTGCATTATATGTACGACTATATTTTTTTTCTTTCTAACTCAGTTTTGTCAATCTTCCACTATTGACTAAATTTCGTAGTCCGAATTTCTATGTCAGGCTGTTGAGAACTGACCGTTTTTTTCTTCAATTTAAAACAGTTGTGTAATACTCGCTGGAATTTTTTTTTCTTTGCGATTATGTATTTCTTATCGGGTCGCACAGGTTGGCGTGTTTTTATATATTTCTCCCGTTTATTAATAATAATTTCCTGCTCATTACATCATAGAAAAGATTAGTCGAGTTGTTGATATTATTATTATGGAGTTAGAACAATCTTTTAATAGTCAAAAGGACATTTATATCACATATACAACTATATTTCTCTTTCTCTCTCTCTCTCTCTCTCTCTCTCTCTCTCTCTCTCTCTCTCTCAATTTTGATAATGTTCCGTTGTTTAATAAAATTCGTAGTTAAAATTTCTACGTCAGATTATTGAAAACTGATTCCGTTTTTCTTAAGTTTAAGATAATTTGCATAACTCTTAGAGTAGGCTTTTTTACTCGAGTTTTTTTTATCATTGTATAATTTGCTACATTGTAAATCTAGTTGAAACAACTCGAATTGAGTTCAATGACCTCGATTTCAAGATAGCATTGGCGAACCACAACTGCTCTGATTCTTTCAGCGAAATCTTCATATTCCTCAATTCTTACGTTTGTATGAAACAAGATTAAAATTTCGTTCGATAAATTTCAATCGCGAAGTAAATCTAATATCTAACTTATTATATCCGATCTACTTAATTTTGAAACTAAAAGTTGAATTACTTATTCAGTTGGATCAATCGTCTAGTAGTTGAAAGAACAACTACATCATACATGTGGAACTACGCTTTTTTTTCTTTTATTAGCTAAATTTTATAGTTCATATAAATTTTATAGTTCATATAGTTTGTTGTCCTGACACTATTTCTCTTCAATTTGGCTCGATTGTAGTTCGCGCATCAAAATTTTCGTGATCACCAGATTCTTTCTTAACCTTTTCATAACCTTAAGATGCTTTAGTTCTTCTCGTCCGATTTCTTTTCAACAGGGTAATATTTCTATTTATACGGACCTTCGCGATATTTGAACAGCGGGCGTAAGGATCTTTCGAGTCTGTTCCAACGGACTGAAACCAACGGATGTTAGTGCATCTCAACTCGTTTCTCCCCGGGTTTTGCATCTCGTTTACGTAACATCCAATAAACGCTTCGATCGAAGCGACTATCTTTCGAAGCGTCAACGGGTGCGTGAATGGGTTACATAATACAACGTCTGCCTCGAAATTCACACCTACACTGAAAAAAACATTTTTAGCATTTGTAACTGATATAATCAGAAAAGTAAAATAATTATAGTCAAACGAATCATTTTTCTAGCAAGTGTTACTGTAGCGTCAGTGATAACAAACTTTACATACATATTGCTACTGTTATTTTTTGGATTAGAAGCGGAAGAAGATTTAATCGAGGTCGGAAATGACTATAATTTTAGCGAGACTTCTCCATGTGCACTTGAGAAAGCCGAAAGAGGAGCATTTCTTGGAAATCGACAAATGCCAAATTCGAAATTCAGGACCCGGAATATTGGAATATGGAACGTAGATTCTACGTAACTTGATATCTTAACATCTGCCATGTTTGGTCAGGACGAGGATTATTCGTATCGCCCCCCGATAGTTGGAGTCGGAATAATTCCCCGGAAGTGAAGGTCAGATGCCATGTGTGCGTAGCGTCGGCTCGATACGACAGACAATAGGAATTCTTGCTCTGATCGCGATTCACATGTCCGTTCCATCTTGTACGCGGCCTAAAATCGCACCGATAAACATCCATCGGGGTCAAACGTACGCGCACGCGCACACATGCACTTATGTGCGCATTTACGTACATACGTACGTACGAAACGGACGAGGAAACCGTCAATTGGGCTTCATAAAACAGCTTATTCGAGGCTGTTAAAAAGTAGTACGATCCGATAATACGAGAGAGCCAGCCATCAGCCAGTCAGCAGCCGGCCGGCCACGTGGGGCGTCCAGTAGTGACGTAAGCGGCGGCGATTTCGTCTTGCTCCGGCGATTCGGGCGCGAGATGCAATGGAATTCCGTTATAACCGGGCTGCAACCGGGCGTGCGAATCGCGTCTCGAATAGAAAAGCCGCGGAGATATTTTCGCAAACCGGATTCCCCCAGCCGCGAATGTATAACGTCAGGCAGATTGACGATTTTAACTTTTATTTTTGCTCACCGCGAGAGCATCGAAATGCAACAACGTGTGTGTCGTGTATTCATCAAATTCAGCGAGCGAGGCTGCCCATTCTGCCCGTTTCCGTCGAATTCCCAGTTTAGAACGTAGAATTTAATATATAAACGTTTAGAAAATCCCCGGAAAGTTTAAAACAAATTTGCGAATTCTGAAGAGAGAATGTAAATTTGGGAGTTTTTTTTCTTCCATATGAAAGAGAGAGAAATTTAATCTATAGAAAGTAGAATGTTTTCAAGATATATATTGAACAAATGTTTGGTTCTTGTAACTGTAATTACACAGTCAGAAAATTTTTTATATAATGAAACAATTATAATTATAACAAAAAAAAAACATTTTTTCTAGCAAGCACTACTATAGCAGCACTGATATCAATTTTGTATGCATATTGCTACTACTACTTTTTTGTTAAAATAGCAAACAACATGATTGACATTGAAAAGTGATTTAAATTTTAGTAAGATTAATATATTTTTTCTTTCTTTCCGTGTATAAATTGAATATCACAGACTCGGAATTGCACATTTTAGAATACAGAATTTACAATCAAACATTTAGCATCTATATTGTTTAGAAATCGCAGATTCAAAATTTGGAAAGAAGATAGATCTTAGAATTTGGAATTCGATATGACAAATTTATAGATCCTAGAATGTATGTAGATACATATTGCAAAAAATACTTGGTTTTGTGACTGTAATTGTGTACAGCAAAATAACTATAAAGCCAAGAAAACTATGTTTGTAATAAATACCACTATAAAATTAATACTATTAATTTTAAACGCTGTATAATTTTATGTGCACATATCGCGCTACTTTTTTGTTAGGACAACAAGAAGATATAGTTAAAATGACTATAATTTTAGCGTTGACTATAATCTTAACAAGATTGATCATTCTTTCGGTATCAGTGTACAGTCGAATATCCACGGACTCGGGATTCGGAATTTTTGTTTTTCCCTGGCGAGCAGTCCACGTATCCGCGGAAGTTTCCGCGCGTCATTCGGATGTTCCGTTCGCGGTAAAGCCGTCAGTAGAGCGTCGTGCTATCGATCAGGCGGACATCGAAACAAAGGATGGTTATCAGCGAGGAAAGAGAGCTTTATCGGCGCGAGCGAGGTCTTCTTGTTTCTCACGTGTTGTTATATACGTTACAATGAACTTACGGGGCGAACTTTACCGCGCTCGCTCGCGATATGCGCCGCGTTCGCGGGGACGATGACCCAACGACAATTTCAACCGCGTAAACACACAGCATCGCGCATATATACGTGTAGCGCGCGCGGGTATCGTAGCGAGCCAGCAGCAGCTTCTGTCATCGGTCGACCCGTTCGAGAACTACTGATACCAAGTCTGTCGGGTCCTCTCCGTCGGTAGGAAAGGCGTCGGATTGTTTGGATTTGAATTTCGAACTTTCAAGACGGTATTCGCACAGTCCGATCTTGTATTTAAGATTGTTTTAAGTTTGTCTTGAAGTGCAATGTAGTCAATAAAATGGCAATCCTATTGCATTTAACTTAAGGTAAACTTGAGACGATTTTAAATATAATGCTGGACTATGGACTATGGACTGTACTTACAGTCAGATCTTATATTTAAAATGTTTCAATTTCATCTTAAGATGCTGTGTAGTCAATGAACCAGGCTTTACAGTATTTTATGATGAACTTAAATATTAAAATCCGGCTGTGGTCAGTATTCATGGTCAAGTATGATATTTTCCATAATTTTAAGATTTTGTATTTGACATATTGAATGCCGCGCCAATTTCACGTGACTTTCCATTCGCACCGAGTAGACCACCGAAAATCCTCGATTACCGCATTTATTATATATTTCTATTATATATTTTTATGAGATGTATCTTGTAATATTTATACTTATAAGATTACAAAAATAATTATTTATTATGAAGGGAAGAGATAACGTAAAATATATGCGCTAAGCAGCCCTGACCGGAAAGTCCAACGCAAGCCACCGATGGACTATGCAGCGCTTAACGCGTTAAGCGCTATATATTTAACTTTTATATTTTAGATTTTATAGAAAGATTCCATAAGTTTAACCTATATGATGTCATACAACCGATGAAACTACGGCATCTGAAGATGAACTTAAGATAATCTTAAGTATAAAATCGGACTATCAGTGCTACCCATAGTCCGATTTTAAACATAAGTATACACTGACTATAACCGGTATTCATAGTCAGATCTCATATTTAAGATCATCTCAAGTTCGCTTTCAGATGCTCCATAGTCAGTGAAACCAGTCGTATAGCATCTGAAAATGAACTTGAGATGATCTTATTACATAATATCTGACTATGAATACCACCTTTAGGATGACTTTCACCAAACATAGATTCACCTAATCGATGAATAAACCGGCAGAATCACCAGCAATAATTTTAGCCATTTAAACAATAATAAATTAATTTCTATTGATCTTAACAAAATATATGGCACATGGTACTTGACGGATAGCGATTTTAAATCGTCGATATCAAGCCGATCGGAGTTCGATGAGAGTCACTTTTAGATTCTAACATCGATTGAAAATCAGAGCCAGGATTCGGCCGTAATTTTCCCGAATGCCTGAGAAATATCGCCGGAAACCCATAACCGAGCCGTTCTTGTCTGTCTAGTGTCGCGCCCATTGGAACCGACCGACCCAACTGCCGCTTTATTCGAAGGTGAACGAGCGCCAGGTAAACCAGAGGAAGAATGAGCAATCCGTACGCCGCGATATATCCGCCATCGGGTAAGGGACATCCCGATGCACAGCAGCCGATCGCGACCGCGCCGCCGCCCGGTATGTTCCCGGTGTCGCAGCCTCATCCAAACGCAGCCGTAACGCCGCAAGGTAAAGGGAAATCTATTGTAGAACGCGTCTATTCTGTATTCTGTGCTCGGCACAGAGAGAGAGAGAGCCGAGACTGCCTGTCCGTTTCGGAACGGCTAAAGGAAATGCTGTCTACGATCCTGACAGCAGATGCGACGTATCCGCCCGTAGCTAGAACGCAGCTAACAGGATTCTCGGAATGTCAATGAAGTAATTTATTAATTTTCATTTGACATTCGCACGAGCGCAAGCTCGAGCAAGAGTCGAGATTCGGCAGAGAGCGGCTAATTCAAGTGTTCTCGCAGCTATAAGCGCGCACGTACATCAAGTGTCATATATATATATGTCGTAACATTTATTTATCATTATTAAGTATAATGAAGTAAAAATATCAAAGAATATTACAATAATACAAGGATATAAAATATAATATAAAAAATATATAATAAATATGTAATGAAGTGTTAAATGTAAAATATAAAAACGTAAAGTATATTTTAAAGCATTATACGCATACAATTATATTAAGAATATAATTACATTAAATATATAATCCATTTAATGATTTTGTTATAATTATCATAACATATAATTATATATTGTTTTAATTATAATCTATATTAAATATAAAATGTAAAGAGCATTAAACGTATAATTTATTCAACGCCCTGGGACGGGTGTTGCCTCTCGAGCGCAAACCAATGTATGTACAGTATTATTACATTCCAAAAAAAGATCCATTCGGACAACTCGAATCAAGTTGAATGAACCCAATTTCAAAACTGTGTAGCGAATTAACTGTGTAGCGAATTAACTGTTCTAATTTTTTTCAACAAAATTCTCATGTTCTTCAAATCTTTTATTTTTGTAAAACAAACAATTTAGTTCAGTAAGACTGAGGTCATAAAGTTGACTTAATATATTACTGGTACTCGTACTTATCGCCTGATTTATTTATCTTTCGAAATAGAAATGTGTAAAATTAATCATATTATGTATCTACCTTATCTTGGTAGTTGAAAGAGCAAGATAGTAAAAAAGCATACATTTTATTATCTTTTTACTGTGATTGAATTTTTTATCAAATTTTACAGCTCAAATTCCTGCGTCATATTGTCGATTTGACTTGATTTTTATTCAATTTGACCTAATTGCAGTTTGTGCAACAAAATTTAATCCTGAGACTCGATCCGAGACCGAGACTTTTTGTTTAATATAGGATTTCCTACGATACTCTCAATGTTTTATATGCAAAATTTAAAGTGCACAAGTAATTCTAATTAATAACGTGAATCAGTGACAAAAAAGTTGCGGCTCGTTTCTTTTTGATATGTCTTGGAAATCGGACGGAAATCGCCAGAACGGTCAGGCGATTTTCACCTCTTCTAAAATTATATTTTCTTCTGGTTTTAACCTACAAAATAGTAATAACAATATGCGTGTAATATTATTATCACTGATATTATAATAGTTTTTATGATTATAATTCCACTTATACGATTACAGTTACAAATACCAAGTATTTTTTCTTACTGTGGAAAACGTCACATTCTTTTTGCCGCCGACTTTACATACATAAAGTATATACATAACATATACATAAATTTGTTAATCTCATGAAATAAACACAAAGGAGACCGTACGAGACGAAATCGTAAACATAAACGCGTATCTCACGGTACTGTTGTGTGTTCGGCTAGATTAGATTACACTCTTTATCTAATCTTTCATTCTCCGGCGGGAGAATGAAAATTCACTTAACACGCTAATATTTAGGGTCAATTATGGCGACGACTGGGCGACTGTTAATTTGGCCTAATTATCCGGCTTCTTTGTGCCCTTTGCGAATCCCCGGACAAGAACGGCGATAATTCAGTCGACTCTCTCGGTAATTCTCCTGCACCACCGCGACCTTTGAGTTCCATTTAGACCGCCGGCCCGTGAACGCACTCAGAGATATAAAGGTTAACTATTTATTGCTTATTAGCGCTGACCGATGAAGTTGCAACATCAGTTGTCGCTTCCGCGAGTGCCCTCGTTATCGCCCCCCCAAGAACACTTTTTCTGTGCTTCATTGAAAACTTCTGGTTGAATTTCATTGCTATTTTCATCACCTGTCAGTTTGTCTGGCTAATAAAAACGGGAAATATGACGGAGAACAATCTCGCGTACAGCGAAGGTGCAATCGGTGGTTGAAAGGGTGCAGCATTTTTTTCGACAAGTCCCACAACGTATCCGTACTCAATAGGAGAGTTGGTTGTTTAGTAATTTTTGGAGGATTACTTTTTCCTATTGATCATCAGACAAAAGCGTTCTGAAGTGTTCTGAAGCGTTCTGAAGCCTATTGTAGGGAAAAATTTACTACGCAAAACACATGTCCAGACAATATCGGCGTACTTACTTTATAACATTATTCTCTTATCGAGACTGACAATCTTTTTTTTTTTTTAAGAAAATTAATATTTAATAGATTTATTTTATTATTAAAAGTTATTATTAATCAAGAGTTTTTAATTTATATATTAATCGTGCGAAAAATTCTCTCTATATCCAGATTTTTTTATTAATAACCTCTTCCCGTACTGCTCTTAGCCTTTCTGAAATGCATACATTTCCCTTAATCATCGCATTTTTGCGATTATAGTTTCAATATAAACGCTTCACGCGATATTTTCAACACTTCTACCGTGACGCGATCGAAGTACGGCGCCATATATTATGACAGTCTCATCGCCAGCTGTCGAACTACAGCCGTTTAACGGTATTCTATGCATGCTTTGGTTCGTAATATCGTTTTCTACGCAGCCACTGTTTCTTCGACGTTTACACAAAGCGCCGTGGAAAGTGAAGAGCGATACGTACCTATGCGTACCTATAATACGTCCGTATAATTCAGTGTATCTCGCGGCTTGCTCCTCTCGAAATACAACTGATTCAGTAACGCGAATGAGGCGACCGAGGGACGATCCGTCCGCAATTTTAACAATTACGACGTGTTCGCTCGCAATCAGAATGCTGATAACATCTTTTCGAACGTGAATAAAACAATTATTAATTTTAATTTTGTTCTTGACTTAAATATCCATACAGCAGTGGGTTTAATTTGAATTTAATCAAACTTTAATTTCCGTGTAAGAGTCAGAACTGGAAAGAGAGCGGCCGATTAGAAACTCTGTCCGCAACTGTTAGCGTATGAAAGTGAGCAAAAAACGATCAGTTGAAATGACTCGAATTGGGCCAAGCGAACTTAATTTCAGATTGTTTATGGCGAATTAATGGATGCTACCGCCGCTGACGAACTTGATAAATGTCGATAATGTAGAGGCAATCTTTGAAATGTTATGTTATATAAACATTGACACGATATTATATAAATTCACGCTGTTCTGTTTATATTTTATATATATATATATATATATATATATATATATATATATATAGGTCTTACATAAACGTTAGTGCGATATAAATGTGAATAAGATAATATGCTATTCTGTTCTACCATATCTAATGTAATGTCATCGAATTTGGAATCTTTCAAATTGATCATTTCGTAAAAATGCTGATCTAGATGTTCCTTTAACGATTTGAGCATCTCTATTTGACGTGACGTATATTTATCCTTGACTTACTTGACACGAAAATTATATATTGTTTTGGAATTTGTAAGAAGTTTCTCTAAGATTCATCGTCATATTTTCAGCATTCTCGACTTTTTCAATCGACCTCCCTTTCGTGACGGATGCTAAATAAATCAACATGATTAGGACTACGTGACAACATGATTACCACGTAATTTATTTAGAATGCAGTATGTTTTGATTTTACCTGAGTCGGCAGATTCACGTTCCTGTTCCATTGTGCTGTCGGTGAACACATTTAGGAACATGTATAATTGGATCAGACGTGTGTAATCAATATCGATAAGTCTCCTGCTTCTTCCTATTATTATTGACTAGGCACGTTAGCAAGATACCAACCTTATGCATAAGCCAAATATTAATAAAATTTCAACTCTAACTAATAACGTCATCTATAATATTCGGCAAAATCAAGCGCTCAGTTGGTGCCGTTTCATGTAGAACATGATATATTCAATAGTTCCATTGTGTCTTAAAATTTCTTAAAATTCTTTTCGAATAACATCGTGATAACTACTGCTTTCTGAGATTATATCGACAAGGCCATCAACTGTTTCTTAAAGCTTAAGGCTGGCATTTTCCAATCACCAAAGAACAGGAGAAAACATTTTAATTTGAATCAGAATTATAGGACATTAAATGCAAAGGCACTGAATTAATTTGTACACCTGATACATACAATATATACATACTGTATCTAATTATTATTGTAGAAAGTAGAAGAAATTTCCCATCATTATCTCCGTCATATTTTACTGGCATATGACGCTCTTCTTTGTTAATTAATTTTGAGACAGAACAACATGTTATTTATTTTACATATATATGTATTACATATTAAGTTTCTGCGCGAAAAGTAAACATAAATGTCTTGAGTCTTGTCTTTTACTATTATCAAAGTTATTACACGCAGTTAACGGAGACATCGATATTGTTAGTCCAAATTATCTATCTGTTCCGAATCGAAGCATTGAAGTGGAACACGCGCCTGTTCCACGATTGCGTAATTACTTAATCGTGATATCCGTGATCGATACGCTCGCGAGAACGTCTATCGGCCAATGTCGTTGTTGCGTTATTAATCTGTAATTGTGACTCGTCATGAGAGATCGAAGCGCCGAAGATGCAAACAAGTAGTAAGTGCACTACGATAACCGCAGTCACAATAACGCACAATAATAGTCGATGAAGTTTCAAGGAAGACCAGATGAGAGAATGTCAAGTTTTCGCTTCCTCCGTTTGCTCGGTTTCATCGAAGTTGAAGCCATATTCTGGATGCATAGTCTAATAACCTCGATATACTTTGCTGACTTTCAATTTGGAACAACGTTATACGTGATGTAACAGAAACAAATCTAGAAATGAACTAACTAGAAAGAC